AGGTTGCTCCCTGGCATTCAAGAGACTGACGATCTGCACAGTGCAAAGACAGGGATCGCACCTCCCCAGTCGCTATTTCACGACCACCATGCGTCTTATTGGTGAGTTCATTTTCATGAATGTGCTCTTGTGGATGCTACATGTCCAAGAACTCACTCTGAGTTGATGACACCTTTTCTGGCATTTGACGCTGCAGACATTGGGGCAAACCTGCTGGACCCAATGTACTCGGGCGAGTACAATGGAAAACAGTATCACAAAGCAGATCTGCAGGCTGCCCTTAGACGTAGCTATGCTGCTGGAGTTGAGCGGATCATCATCACTGCAGGGAGCTTATCTGAAGCCAGAGCAGCTCTGCAACTGGCCAGGACTGATGGTATGAGACCAGCATCAGCTGCCATTGCAAGATCTGAATGGTACTATCATTTCATACTCTTCTTTGCTATATGTGCAGACCTCCGGGTAACAGTGGTTCATGAACGGCCATCATCTTCAAGATATATATAACAAAATAAATTCCTTGGTGTATCATAGTCATTGGTTGTGCTGGTGTCCAGAGCGATTGTTCTGCACTGTGGGAGTGCACCCGACGCGCTGCACAGAATTTGAAAGCCACAGTGAAGGTCCTGAGGCATACCTGCAGGCTCTGCAGAGCCTTGCTTTGGAGGGATCTGCTGAGAAGAAGGTCGTGGCCATTGGCGAGTGTGGCTTGGACTATGACAGGTGTGCAAAATCACAGCTCTAACACAGACACCACAGACTCATGCTTCTTTTGGCAATTAGTGTCTGGAGTCTGCTGGCTCGCCCATGCCAGTACAAAGGGATTTCCACCTGGGTGCATTTGTAATTGTGACACTGGTTTCTTTTGTTGTCATCTTCTAATTTGGTGTGCAGGTTGCAGTTCTGTGATAAGGAAACACAGCTGAAGTACTTCAGGGCCCAGTTCCAACTGGCTGCTGCCACCAAACTGCCCATGTTCCTCCACCTGCGTGCTGCCGCAGAGGACTTCTTGGAAGTACTTCGGGAGCAGCAGGACAAAATGTCAGCCGGCGTCGTGCACTCCTTCGATGGCAGCGCTGCAGAACTCAACAGTCTTCTGGAATTTCGCAACATTTATATAGGTGCTCATAATTTTCCTGGACTCCTGCACCTTTGAATTGGTAACACAATGTGACTTCTTATTTTCCCTCCAGCAGCCAACAGTACCAAGAGCATGATTTGTTGCCCTCTTTGGATGTGTTACATGATATCTGAGGGTATCGGTGATTGGCTGTGCAGGTATCAATGGTTGCTCTTTGAAGACAGAAGAAAATCTGAGAGTTGCAGCGTCTATTCCGGAGAACAGGTTAATGATTGAGACGGACTGCCCCTGGTGTGAGATCAGGCCGTCACATGCAAGCAGGGCGCATGTGAAGACAGTGCTGCCAGCAAAAGACAAGAAGAAGCACGGCGAGGAGTCCCTTGTGAAGGGCAGAAACGAGCCCTGCAACCTTGTCCAGGTGCTGGAAGCTCTAGCAGGTGGGTTTTGTTATTCTGTCCTTCTGCCTTGCCTTGACTGATATGAGGGACTTTTGATTGCATCCAACCATTCTTTACATGTTGCTGCTGCTGAGGCAATCAACAATACAACCTGCCATTTATTTGTGACATACCTTCTGGGTCCAGGAGCAAAAGAGGCGGATGCTTCTGATCTATCCGAGGTCATTTGGCGTACGACAGCAGCTGTGTTCTTCAAATAGCAGGTTGCAAGACGGTCTGTAAGAAGAGAAGGCGCCAGAATTGGCACGTTGGCCTTCTGATGAAACCTTCTCGGCTGGTGTCCACTATTTCTATTTTTGCAAATGGCACGGATAATGCAAGAACGATCGCACTAAGAAAACAAGAATACACATCATGTGAATCGTCCAGGGCTGATCAGATACCCCGCAATCACCCACACTGTCTTCTCAAACCATGGCCAGATCTGAAGCAGAGCAGAGGCATTGGTCAACAGTGTTGACAACACTGGTTCTCAATGACGTCATCCCATCAATAGGAACATGCAAATGCCAAGAGGCATCCTCAGAACTTCGCATCACCATACAGCTTAGGAAGTGTTCAATTTGGTTACTGCGAAGACAAGTGAGATGTCCACTCGCGTCAATGAGTGACTGACATGGACAAATACAGTTGTGACCAGCCTGTGTTTCTTGTATATGGATCAGGGGATCGAACAAGTCAGCTAAGGGTCTGCACAAGTTTCTCTACAAATATTGAGGCGAATTGAAAACACGACGGAATACCTCCCAAGTTGGCAAATCATACGTTGAAGTATCCAAGATGAGCAGTGCCCCCGACCTTGCAGCCTTTCAGGAAGAAAAATTTGATCCCAAGAAATGGATCAACAGCGCATGCGATATGAAACCATCAGATGAGGCTATGGAAAGGTTCGCTTCACTTTAAGAACCTAATATCATATTGGAACCATCAGAGTCGATTGGTGCCCTTCGAAGCTGGGGAGATGCCTGTTCTTTCATTATTAACTGTGAACACCACAATACACCATGTATCATGTGTTACTATTCATAATGGAGACAATCTAAGTTCACGTTGCACAAAATAAGGGCCATTGAAGCCGATCTTCCCGTGCAACTACAGGTATCTGACTGATCTGGAACTGCGTTTGCACTTGGCCGCCGAGGATATAGATGCAGCCCTGGAAATTGACAGCTCTCGTGCGCTGCAGCGCATCCCCGCGGCAGTTCAGGAAGTCTCCCACGTGCGGGTGGGTTGACCAGCATCACTTCCCTTCTAAATATTTGTCACGTTGCCTTATAGAGACCACTCTGCTTCTACCTCCTCTGCTCTTTAAAGAGCTCTGGAAAATTGCTTTTGAGACTCCCTTGGGGTCTTAGACTGACAGGTTCACTGGCATGTGCCTGGGCATGGAGAATCGGCTGGGTTTCAAAGAGCGCCTACCCCCCCAGCCATCAATTGCAAGGTGTTACTTTTTCAGGCACCTCCCAATAGAAGCAACATACCATGGTTGCCCTGTGCAGGGCGATGTGACAGGGCTCAAGGCAGATGTGAGCCGGGGACTGGGCATAGTGAGCAGCGCTGCAGCCGCTGCGGCCTCGAATGTGGCGCTGATCGCGGAGCTGGAGCGAGTGAAGACCCGCATGGAGGCAGCCTGCTCCACCCTCAAGGTGAAGTATGCGTGCCACTTCACACGAGAAGGATATTTAATCAGAAGGGATTGTGGTCTAGAGGTGCATGTCTGATGCCACTGCATGGGGAGGCTGTGGGACGGGCGCATAAGAAACCCAGAGGACCAAAGCGGTTTGCAGAAAGAACACAAGTCTGGTAGCACAGCAGAAGATGCACAGCTTATGGAGCAAACTTTTCTTGACATGATCTCCAGCTCCAGTTCGATATAAATTTCACCGATCTTTTCCACGTGCATGTATATGTTGGATGATGTTAGGGCATGTCAGAGCACTGCACTGCACTGGCTTTTCTGGAAGCTGGACAATGAAAGGTGCATGGCGGCTAGCGCAGGAGGCAACGGAGCTGAGCGCGCACTTTGCGCGCGTGGAGGCGGTGTTTGCAGAGGGCGACCTGCAGCGCATCGCAGCCACGCTGGCCAGCATCCGCCAGGGGCTGGCGCTCGTTGGAGACGTCCCTGAGTTCAAGGGCGGCGCCGCCCGCCTTGAGGTGATGCGCTGAGCTGGACATGAGACACGTTTTAAGAAGGGGAATCTTGTTGGAGATGTGCGATGATACGGCGGGCTTACAAGGGGAGCTGGTCATGCAATCTCATTTGGGGGATTGGCATGCATGCATTTGTATTGAGAAGTTCATTTGATGCTCACTTCTACTGCACTTGTATTTCACTCTATACAGAAGGGTGTTGCAAGAAACATAGGTGCCCTGATGAAATTGTGTTGATGCACTCGTCTGCAAAAACTGGTACAAGAGGTGTCCATGCTGCTGCACACGTGGCATGACATGCACAATGCCTGTTCACATAAGTAAGCCCAAGAATTGAAGCATGTTCCCGGTGCAGGCGCTGGAAGAGCGGTTCCACCAGAACATAGAGCCTGCAGTGAGTAGCGCGCTGGCCGCTCGCCAGGCAGACCGGGTGGCCAACCTGGCAGCTCTCATGACTGATCTGGGCCGGGAGTCCGAGCTGGAAGGCCTCTATGTGGCTGCACGCCTGCCCATGCTGCAGGTGGGACGCCTGCTTTGTGGGTGTTGATGGGTGTAAGCAGAGACATATTTAAGGAACAGCTATGGTTGTCGGGACGTGCCTCTGTCTGCACCCCACTTGCGCTTTGTCTGGAGGAGTTTGTCTGCGCCATCATAGGCACGTGGTGTATCCTGTAGGGACAGGACAGATTGTGCATGGATGGGTCTGTGTCCACATCAAGCCCGATGGATCTCTGCAATTGAGCGTGGCTCGGAACGCAGGGGCTGTGGGATGGCTTCGAGGGTAGAGGCTTTGCTTCCTGGCTGCCCACCTTCTATGAGGGAGTGGCCAGCGCTGTTGGGACAGAGTCAAAATGGTGCTCCATGGCGCTCCCGGACCTCAACCCTCGCCTGCTGCTGCTCCTGCTGTCTGCTCTTTTTCATCGGATCGAGAAACCGTTCCGTACACGGCTGGCATCTGCTCTTGTGCAAGGTGTGTTCTCGTCTTTTGCTCTTCCTTGTCTAGTGATGGTCACCTTAGGCGTTGCTTGCACTAGCACAGTAGAGAAGATGTGAGGGACCAGCGAATGGCAGCACGGGTTAGGACAGCAATCGTGGCCTATACATCCCGAGTCGGGAAACTGAAGGAGACCGGTGGAGCTCACGAAGTTGCCCAAGTTTTGATCCGGATCATCTGTGGACCACTAGAAACAAATTAAGCGAACGGTGAAGGCCATCAAGCATTGCAGAAGAAAGAGTTCCTGTTAAGTGAGTCGATGAGGGATGCATCCATCCGATTATGGGCCCCGGAAATTGGGAGAGGGTCGTGAAGTGCTTTCGTAGCTCAGTGGTAGAGCGTGCGTTTCGTAAGCGCAAGGTCCCGTGTTCAATCCACGGCGGAAGCACTGTCTTTTTTGGTATTTTTTCCCCTAGGCTTCTGCTGCACATCGTATGCGTTCTCGTAGGGAATTATTTGGTCTTGAGAATGACTCCAAGAAGTTTTGGCATCGGTGCAGGCGGTGACAGAGGTGGCGGCGTCGTCATGCTGCTGGCGAGCATGCAAGAGGCAGCGCATGTGTTTGTGGAGGGAATGGCACAGAGCATGGCTCGGGAGGGCGCCACTGACATCGGCTCGCTCCCCGCCGCTGTCTATGCGCCATTCCAGCCACAGCTGGACAGGTTGCCCATCCTTGTTTCATACTTCTTTCCAACCAAACAGAAACCGTCCTCTGAGTCGGGGCACCTGTGAATGTAATTATGAAATGGTCTCATGTGAATTTTCTGGGTCATGAGAGGATTTCCCTTTCTGTCATTTCAAGCCTTAGTATACAATGTTACGTGGGACCCAAACTTGCAATGCAAATGTGTTATTCAGCATTCGTCATGTGCGCGCAGGTACGGCGAGCTGGAGTCTGTGAGTTTCGGGCAGGACCTGGCGTCCCCGCAGCTGCCAAGCGCCGCAGACGACCCGGAGGCGGCCGTCGCCGCGATCGGCGCGGCCGCCGCGGTGGCCGAGGCCGCGGTGGCCGCGGCCGTGGAGCGCTGCCGGGCGGCCACCGGGCTCGCCGGGCTGCCCGAGCTGCAGCTGGTCGCGGATGAGGAGCTTGCGCAGTTCGTCAGCCGCCTCCAGGTCTGCCAATATTCTTTTTCTTCATTTTCTTCTTCTCTCGACTGGGCATTTTTCGGGTGTTGAGGAGGTGCTTGTTTCATTCGTTGGCTCAAAGTTGCTTGAGCTGCGGCTGGTCGCGCTTGAGGAGCTTGCACAGTTTGTCAGCCGCCTCCAGGTGGCGCCGCTGTTCATCAAAAGGCTTTTGTCGGTTTGGTAGTTGGCGGTGGTGAAGAGATGCTCGTGTTCATTTGTTGGCCCAAAAATGTGTTGAGCCGAGTGCATTGGGCTGGACCTGTCATGGGTGTATGGCTTACAGGCTGTCCCTCACAGCCGTATATTCTCGTTTGGCGAACATATTTCCCCAACACCAAAAACGGCCGTGAATATTTGCAAATATGCCACTTTTGAAGAAATTTTCATGCTTCACAGACGGTCCTGCTGGAGCTGCGCAAGCACCACTTGCCAGCGGCGGCTGGCGACGCTGTGGCCGCTCCTGAGGACGCCACTGCAGTGCTTCAGCTGCTGGGAGTGGCCAGCAACCTAGCCGCAAAGCTGGCTGCCTGCGAAGCCGCGCTCCGAGCTGCGCTCAGCAAACTCGACAGCCTTGTTGGCTCTGTGGATGCCAGCAAGGAAGCCCTGGACCCTGTCACCCTCCGCATGCTGTCTTCAGAGGTGACATGACCCCTTCAATTGCTGCGACGAGTGGCATAGGACTGACAGCGTGTTACGAATGCAGTTGACACATCGACGTGTACATCAACTCTCAGGGATGCTCCTTTTCATGGGCATGTCTTCAATGCAAGCAAAAGTGGGCCTGCTGAACCTGCTTTCGGTGGCACTTCAGTTGAAACCCTTGATTGCAGAAGGGCTATTTCCGAGGACACCTGCACACCTATGACTCAACCAAAAACACCGCGCTCTTGCGGCGGGTAGAAACACTTGGGATGTATTTAGGGTTAGGGTTCAAAGATATTTATGTGTGAATAATAAAAACCCTAACACTTAACCCCTTAAAATACAACCCTGCAGGGGCGGCTGCTGAGGGAGCTGCAGGCACATGTGGGCGCTGCCAAGGCGGCCGGCTACCTGGCGCTGCCGACCGCGGCCGCGCGCGCGGCCGCATTCCAGGACGCCGCTCAGACGCTCGTGTACGACGTCCTCATGCTCAAGGTGCGCTCTGTGAGTCCTCGACCGGCTCGGATACATGTTCTGATCTCAGTGAACTTCGCAGTTGAGGATGCTGTGCTGTGTGCTGGCTCTTAGGCATGAGGTGCTGGCCTTGGTGCCTTCAGGTCAGTTGCCTGCTTGCCTGTTGCAATGATGAGCCATCATGACGCTTCAGTGAAAATGCTATCAAACGTGCTTCCGGTCTGCTTCTGTGGTTACACATGGCAACTGATCGGTTTTGTGGGCCATTTCTGGCTGTGTGTTCAATGCATCGGTGGTTTCATACTGATCACTGTCAATAATGCCCACCACTGAGATGCATGGAGCATTGCCTCGACTTCTTCATGCTTACCCACGCCAGGATAGATTCAGAAGTCCTTGAGTGCCCTTGCTGACAGGTGCATGGAGCACTGGAGGGGCTCGGTGCGCAGTCGGTGTGGGCAGGAACAGGGGGCGAAGGTGCGCAGGAATTTACTTCTCAAACACTTTGCTCTATACACTAGTTGAGGATTTTTCTATAAAAACCTCAGTCCACCATTACATTCAGGAAAAAAACTGCACATGTAAAGGTTCCTTTACCCTAGCCCTAACCCTAGAATCTACCCCACCCAATCTCTACAACGCCAACTTAGTTGTTTGAATTCTACTTCCTGGCGAAGGTGCGGGGGGGACTGCGGTGGGGGGCGCGCTGCCGGCATTCAGCGTGTACCCGCAGCAGGCGGTGACGGCGGCCGGAGAGTACCTGATGATGCTGCCGCAGACGCTGGAGGGACTGCTCGGCGCCGACAGCAAGGCCGAAGAGGAAGCCGTCGATGCCGAGTGGCTCGATCGGGTGCGCAAGATCAAACCATCTCTGGCTCGTCACCTTTATAAGCAGTGCCAGACACGTCCAGACATAGTGCTCCCAGGAAGGTCGCTGCTGGAGTCGAGTGAAGCCCCACTTTGGAAATTGACTGAAGGTGGTAGGTAAAGTTTTCATTCTCCATTTGTCAAAACGCCCCCAAATTTATTTCCAGGAACACGAATTTATAATTTGTTTAGGGTTTAGCTTTTAGGCTTTACCCTTACCTCCAAACCTATCCAAAACCCCAACTCCTAGAAATTAAACAAAAAAACAAAAGCATTGATTTAATGCACAGGTGGCAGCCGGCGCGGCGGAGCTGTATGTGAGGGAGCTGGCGCGCATCGGGAAGCTGAGCAGCGCGGGCAGCGCCCAGCTGGCGGCTGACCTGGACTACTTCTGCAACGTTCTCGCCGCACTCGGCGTCGCACTGCCGCCCCAGCTCGTCACCTGGCAGGTGCGGTGCTTGGTTGTTTTTGTGCAATGAAAATCTTAGTGGATGCCGAAAGGGGTTATGAAAGGTGGCGCGGCAGTTGTTCAAGCTGCCCATAGTGCTGAATGAGGTCTTGTCACAGTGAATAGTGAGCTTGCTGGCCATTTAGGCTCATACCTAAAAGTCTCTAATTTTTGCGAGCATATCAGCGGAGAACCCCTGTCCAATATGCCAGGTTTCTGTAGTTCATACTTTTTTGGGCGGTCGGCTAGGCTGCTGTGAGCTTCTAAGAAGTAGCCTTCCAGGAGTTGATGCGCAGAGTGGAAATGGCAAGTGAAGTTAACAAGTGAATGCACAGGATATGCCGCTTGGGAACACAGCGTATGCTAACATTGGGGTGTTTGTGACAGGTGGCCATGGGTTGGGAGGCAGAGGACTTCACAGCGTCCGCAGCAGCAGCACTGGATGACCTGGTGGTTGACAAGGCCACCCTGGAGCTTGTGGCCGCAGCCAGGGGGCTGCAGCTGCCCTGAATGAGCCATGCGCATGTATAATAGTGCTTCTCACGCTCCCTGTGAAGTTCTTTTAAAATATTGCACCTCTTTCAAACCACAGCCTGTACCGTCATACGGTGCAAACCGAAAGATGCCCCTGTAACTACAGATTAAAACACGTACACTGTGTGGTGCAAATCAAGGAACCCGGAATACCTTCAATAAATTAGGCACATAATGCAGGCATGTTTTTGAGCTGTGCCACACGCAATGTCTACAACATTCATTGGGAACTAATTCCCTTATCCCTGGTAAGAATACCACTTCTGCTGCTGTTGGACCTGTTACCAAAGATTAAACTTTGTGCAAAAACAGCTCTGCCAAAAAAATTGCAGGTCATGACCCCCCTCCCTCACATGTAGCGTGTGACATCCGCCCCACAGTTGCCGATCGCTTTGAACCTGTTCTGGTAGAAGTATGTCGGCAACGCCACAAAGATCAGAACCGTCACCACAGCTCCCACTATCGGAGTCCAAGCCTCCCACCTACACGGCAGCTGATGATGACCTTGTAAATATAAACATCATGACTTGCTGTCCATGTGAGACAGCGCACCAGGATCCTCATGACACCACAGCATTCTTGATATCCATGCACCAATCAGTACTGGTGAGTCTAAAGTGCTTCACATCATCTTGCTGGTCCTGTCTTGATCCATGATTTACATTCTGATTTGTCAGAATGCTAGCCCCAGAAAAAGCATGTGAAGCCATGTTTCGCGACGCTCTTGCCATTCGACCACAAGACGGAACAGTGACCACAAAACTTTATGTTTGGAAATTAAATCTCTTATTTTTTAGGGTTCAGGGTTTTGTAAACATTATATAATCATAACCCCTAAATAAACTCCTAAAGTATTGGCGCACCTTTCTGATTTGAGGTGTGGCAGGAAGAGCAGCGCGGGGAAGAGGCCGCTGAGGAATCCGCCCACATGGGACAGGTGTGATGTGCCCACGGGTGATGTCACCACCGTCACGATGAAGTAGATGAGAAAGGCAAACATCATCACGCTGCGGATGATCGGCCTGGAACAGCAGAAATGACAGCTTCAAATCTTCAGCGCATGTTGTAGATTTCCCACTCCCTTAACCTTTTACCCCCAAGCCTAACCCCTTCATTATTCAACAAGAATTGCAGCTTGATACAGCGTGTCCTCCTGAAGCGCCCACATTACTCATGACCCCCAGCTCGAATGGCAAGAATGATGCTGCCCAGAATGGCGTTCCCAGGTTTTGCAAGACTCCCTGAACCTCAGAAGAGTCTTAAGGATGAAGTCAAATCCTGAAATAAACCTGCAAAAT